AAACCATCTTTCCAAGCAGCCTCCATGTCTCCAGTGTCTTTTCCCCCACTTGGAGCCGAACCCAGAAGGACATTTCTTCCAACAATGGCATGACAAAATTGTGGGCACGCCCACACCAACAATGCAATGCACCCCGCCCACCTGCATATGGATGCACGACCCCTCGTGCATGCGTGCGTCCTAACTTGAGGATTACCTGTGCTGTGGACTGCTTCGTCATGGGGTTGAATTAGGATCAGGAAAACAGACCAGGAATGGTCTCACTCGGAGTTGCTCAGAAGCCATGTACGTGCTGTCAATGCAAGAGATAAAATAATAATAATGGTAAATTAATAACAAGGAAATTAACCTCCTGGTTTCAGTTAATATCATTGCAACACCTCGTTGGTGAGAGACAGGGAATTTGAGCGATAAGGTAGAAGTGGCCCTTTAAGACTTCGGACGGGCTTCTCTTAGGGAAGGGCAGGGTTCAAATACCACCAGGGCCACATTTTTTTTCTTGCCACCTTCTTCTTTCCGACTTCGTTGGAAGGAAAGGAGACAATTCTTGTCCGACGTGAACTGGCAGGTTTCAGTTGCCCATTCAGAATTAACACTGACATAAGTATAGGTTGCGCCATTCTTGGGCAAATCTCTTCCTCAAAGCTTGGAAGGTGAACCTTGGGTGAAATGTGGCACCTCTGAAATTTATTACCTTTCGGAAGGATTGCTGAACAGGCAGGATGCTGATGTAGATAGAAAGAATTAAGACTGAGAAGCAGTAATTGCTGTGAGTCAACTCACGGCATTTAAAATACAGGTTGTCCTCAACTTAGAATAGAATGGGATATCAGAGTTGGAAGGGACCTTGGAGGTCTTCTAGTCCAACCCCCTGCTCAGGAAGGAAACCCTATATACCATTTCAGACAAATGGCTATCCAACATCTTCTTAAAGACTTCCAGTATTGGAACATTTACAACTTCTGGAGGCAAGTCGTTCCACTGATTAATTGTTCTAGCTGTCAGGAAATTTCTCCTTAGTTCTAAGTTGCTTCTCTCCTTGATTAGTTTCCACTCATTGCTTCTTGTCCTACCCTCAGGGGCTTTGGTGGAATAGCTTGACTCCCTCTTCTTTGTGGCAGCCTCTGAGATATTGGAACACTGCCATCATGTCTCTCCAAGTCCTTCTTTTCATTAAACTAGACATACCCAGTTCTTGCAACTGTTCTTCATGTTTTAGCCTCCAGTCCCCTAATCATCTTTGTTGCTCTTCTCTGCACTCTTTCTAGAGTCTCAACATCTTTTCTACATCGTGGCAACCCAAACTGATTGCAGTATTCCAAGTGTGGCCTTACCAAGGCATTATAAAATGGTATTAACCCTTCACGTGATCTTGATTCTATCCCTCTGTTTATGCAGCCTAGAACTGTGTTGGCTTTTTTGGCAGCTGCTGCACACGGCTGGATCCTATTTAAATGGTTGTCCACTAGGACTCCAAGATCCCTCTCACAGTTACTACTGTTGAGGAAGGTACCACCTATACTGTTGTACCTGTGCATTTCGTTTTTGTTTCCTAAATGTAGAACCTTACTCTTTTCATCGTTGAATTTCATTTTGTTAGATAGTGCCCAATGTTCAAGTCTATCCTTCTGTATATGGCTATATGCATAGTCTTTTATCATGTTTATTTAGTATATATTGGAGGCAATGACCCTTTTGAGAACTGTATGCAACGAAATTTCATTTTAATGTATGCTGATCGGTGTACATTTAAAGTGACAATAAAGTTATTCTAAGTCTAAATCTAACTTTTGTTTGCCACAGCTGTTAAGGGAATCACTGCAGTTGTTAAGGGAATTGCTCTGTCCTTAAGTGAATTCAGCTTCCCGCATTGACTTTGCTTGTCAGAAACTGGCTGGGTTGATCTTTAAATCGTGGTTACATGCACCCCAGGATGCTGCGACTGTCATAAATACATGCCAATTGCCAAATTTTGATCGTATGACTGTGGGGAATGCCACAACGGTCATAAGTGCAAAAACCATCAGAAATCACTCCTTCACGCCATTGTAACTCTGAGCAGTCGCTAAATGAATTGTTGTAAATTGAGGACTACCAGTATTGGCTATGACCTTTTCCTCTATCAAGCCCAGATGTTCTCACCTGTTGACCGTTCCGGATAAAAGTTCCAAACCACGTCCGAACTTTGGCGTTCGTTCCAAGCAACAAGCCACTCACAAAGCAGATCAGGTCACTGACACCGTCCTCCGAAAACTCATTCTTGGTGTGATCCAGTGTCAAAGCCACACCAAGTCCTGGTAAGTGACATTCCTCCACCTAAGCACACAAGAGCATCTTAAAAATTTGGCTGCAAATTTACATCAGAAAGGTGTCTTCCCTTGCCAGATGGCTGGAAGGTACATACGTAAGAGCACGCGGTAACTTTTATGTTCCTTGCGCAAGGGAAGCCACATTGTTTTAACCACATCGCTAACGCAATGGAGTTTGCACATCACCCTGAACCACATAGCAATTTCGCAGACTAGTTTGGTGAGGAGACAAAACCCAAAAGATCATGCCCAGAGGTGTTGCCTACAGAAATCGCTTGGACTTTTTCTCTCCCACTCCTTACAGAGAGTTGAGAGAGGAAGGGATAACGAGAGTAAGCAGGCATACAATGGAGAATACCGTATTTTTCAGAGTATGACACACTCCCCCCCCCAAAAGAGAGTGAAAATTTAATCAAATGTATTCCTGCCCACCCACTGGCCCCAACCCTTTGGCTTCTGCCTCCCAGCAATTTGCCTCCTTGCAGCAAGCAGCAAACAGCCTGTTTCAGTTTCAGCACAGCCTGATTAGCACAAGCAGCTGATTGTCAGTTGGATGGCCTCCCGACCGTCAGCTGTTTCAGGCTGCAGGGATTGCCATTGCCTATTGCCGCCTCCATGCGACCCATTTTTGGCCTCTGCACGCCCCATTTTCCACCCATTCTGATTCCCGCTACCCGGAAGAGGTGGAAAATGGGGTGCGTAGAGACCGAAAACAGGGCATGCAGAGGTGGCCATAGGCTATGGCAATCTCTGCAGCCTGAAACAGCTGATTGTGCTAATCAGGCTGTTCTGAAACTGAAACGGGCTGTTTGTTCTTTGCTGCAAGGAGGCAAATTGCGGGGAGGCAGAGGCAGATTTTTTTTCCTTGTTTTCCTCCCCAAAAGCTAGGCGCATCTTATACTTCAGAGCATCTTATACTCTGAACAATATGGTACAATGGGCTGTTTGCATGGTGAGCCTGCAGTTGCTGGCACCAGTGTTTTGATTTGATAAATACTCTCTATTGCAGTGATGGTGAACCTTTTTCACCTCGAGTGCCAAAAGGACGCGCGGGCACCCCCATAATTTAATGCCCCCCCACGCCGTGCCCCCTACACATGCTGAGTGACCTCCTGCTCGCTGTCCTGTGCATGCTCACATGGCTTTCTTATACCCTGGGGAGGGCGAAAATGGCCTCACACACACACCCCAGAGGCCGGAAACAGACCATTTCCTGACTTCTGGTGTGCCCAGTAGGCCCATTTTTTGCCCTCCTCGGGTTCCAGAGGCTTTCTAGGAGCCTGAGGAGGGCAAAAATGGCCTCCCCGCTCACCCCCGGAAGGCCTCCCAGAGGCTAGAGATGACCGATTTTCTAACTTCCGATGGGCCAGGTAGGTCCATTTTTCGCCCTCTTCAGGCTACAGAGACGTTCTAGGAGCCTGGGGAGGGTGAAAACGACCGCCCCTGCCTCCCTGGAGGCCCTCGGAGGCCGGAAATGGCCCGTTTTCCGATTTCCGGGTTGCCCGTTGGCCCGTTTTTCTCCCTCGGGAGGCTTCAGGAGGGCGAAAAACGGCCAAAAACCAAGCCCAAAAAATCAGCTGGCCAGTGAGCACATGGGCGCTGGAGCTGACCGGGCAATGTCTCACGTGCCCTCAGAAATGATTCCGCGTGCCACCTGTGGCATGCGTGCCATAGATTCCCCCTCGCGGCTCTATTGCGTGGCTGCTTATTCTCTTGCAATCTCTTCCTTTCCAACAACTCTGCTTTGCCTGTGGGGGAAAAAGAAAAAGGCAGGCAGAGGACAACAGAGGCTGACCATAATGGTGATCACCGGACTAAGGAAACACTGCGAAAATCGTAAATGTCGTCGCCGCTTATTAAGTCATTTAAAAAAAAACATAATTTCATTAAATATTATAATTGCAATAGTAAAAATACAAACGAAAAAGAAAAATAAAGAGTAGAAGTTGTAGAAGTGTTTAAAAAAAGGGGAGGAAACAATGTAATGGAAAGAAAAAAATATAATAAAGAAAAAGAGAAGACATGCAGTGTCCTTGGTACTCTCTGAACTTGGCTGTTTTCTTGCAGACGTTTCATTATCAAACTAAGTAACATCATCAGGGCTACATAGAAAGTAGGGTTTGGTCTCACGTTATATGAAGTGGCTTGCACTATCAGTATTGGTGGGAGTGTTCTTGAGAGAGGTTCCTTGATTGATGTTAGCTTGTCTGTCTGTTTTGGTAGTTTGATAAAGCCAAGGTGGCGCAGTGGTTAGGGTGCAGTACTGCAGGCCACTTCAGCTGACTGTTATCTGCAGTTCGGCGGTTCTAACCTCACCGGCTCAGGGTTGACTCAGCCTTCCATCCTTCCGAGATGGGTGAAATGAGGACCCAGACTGTGGGGGCGATATGCTGACTCTGTAAACCGCTTAGAGAG